TTAAAACAAAAAGATTTTTAATAATAAATTTTTAATTTTTTCATCTCTTGCTAATTTTTATAGTGATATTAAATTACCATTACTATTATTAATATCATCATTTTTACTATTAATATTTCTACTTCTCATTTATTATTAGTAATATTAGAGTTGTATTATTTTATATTACTACATTTTAATAATATTTTGTTTTAATACTATCCTTATTTTTATAATTATAGTTAACTATTATCCTAGAATATTAATTAGTTATAAGAAACTTGAATAATTAGGCTAATTCTAAGTAGTTAGTGCCTCACTTGTGATTGTAAGCAACTTATTTAATTCCGATTCCTTTCTGCTCATTGCTATTTGATTTTTTTTCCACTGCGGATATCTCCATAAATGAGGCAATGAAGCTTAACACCAGTACACGTGATCCAGGGATTTTATATCTATGTTTAGTGTTAATCCGGAAGTGGAGAGGGTGCTGGCTCACCCCGGCCCTGAGGAAAGTCCTCCACCCCCTCGAAGTAGCCCTGCAACCCCTCAGGATTTACAAATATCTTTGTCTCAGTTCCCCCCTGGCTTGTCTGTTTTCCATGTAAATGCCCAAACACTTAAGCAGCATTATCCTGAAATTTTAAATATTATAACTGAAACGAAACCAGACCTGTTATTAATAAGCGAAACATGATTAAAATCTACAATAAAATCAGGACTCGTATCGGTATCTAATTATAAATTCCTTCGCAATGATAGGTCGGTAATTAAAAGCAATTTAAAAGCAAAGACGGGTAGAGGGGTCGCATTTTTTGTTCGCGATGACATTAAGGTTAAAGTAGTCGCTCACTCCACATCCTCTTTACCTGGAATGGAATATATGTTTGCGGAAATCCAAATTGAAATGAAACGTATTCTTGTTGCTATTACTGGCCCCGAAAACGGAGTTTTATCCGATTTAGAGATTTCCTTTCGCAGTTCGCAAGTAAATATCAGGATATCATAATCAGGGTTGATTTCAATTGCGATTCTGAAGGTACACTCACAACTCGGTCGAAAATTTATTTATTGATACTATTAATTCATACAATTTACAGATATTAGAATTTGGCCCTACTTACTTATCATTAGGAGCTGAAACATGGATATATCAGGCGATTGTGTCAGACTCTTCGAAAAATATTAATGTGCGTCAGATATCTGTTTCGGGAGTATCAGAGCATGATTTTCTATTATCGTGTACCCTATAAAATGCCCTAAATATAAGCAAACAATAATACGCTATCGTACTACAAAAATATTAATACCGAGGCTATGTTTGACGGCAGTGCCAAAGCTCCTTGGCATGAGTTTATAATCAAACATATCTAAATAGTAATGTAGAAGTCGTTAACGAAATTATATCAGATTTTTTCATAAACATGCACCTTGGAAACGCGACACGTGACACGTCTCGCGCCCCGTGGCTTAAAAATAAATAAAGCAATTCATCAGGACGGGACAGCTTATCATCGCTTCAAGTCTAATAAAACCTCTAAAATGAATAAGAGAACAAAAAGTTACGAAAATTCGTAAAACAAAAATTAGTAAGGCAAAATTCGATATTATCATGATGTCTTAAAGTAAATACAAACACAAAAGACGTTTGAACTGAGAGACCTCGTGATCACGAAAGCAAATTCTTCTGAAATATTGTCATATTCCCTTGAATGACATTAATGACTACTTTGTAATGTTTCATTCCAATACCTCCTTGTGTCAACGAATACATTACAGAGACTTGCAAGCAATTCAACTGCTACCAGGATTAAATTTATTTTCATAACGATGGTCATCACTGAGTTAGTAAGATTTGTCTTCACTAAAATCAAATGCAAATGGCTCCGATGGTATCACAGCCAAACAACTGAAATTGTTATTACTATTTGTCTTTCCGGCACTCACGCGTTTAAACACGTAACTGACTCATATCTGCTCATAACCTCCAAACCGGCTTTAGAGTAGGTAAAAGCACACAAACAGCTGTATTGGAAGTATCTGAATACATAAAAAAGCGCTAGATGATGCCTCGTAACTGTATTAACTCTTCTAGATTTTTATAAAGCATTCGACTCTGTATATCAGACATACTAATAGCGAAATGCAAATACTAAGTTTTCAGATCCACCATCTCTTGGATTATAAGCTATCTCTACAATAAACAACAAATTGTATTGTTACGATCTGCACTCCAATCCAAAACCTCTTCACCGAGGGTACCTAAGAGATCCGTTCTAGGGCCACTGTTCTTCTTAATTTACGTGAATACCTATCAAGCGAACTTACAGAATGTAGTCATCATATTGTAGGCGGATGACTTGCAAATTTATATCTCTGGGAAACCATGACAGGTAGAAAAACTAATAAATTAAATTAAATAATGAACTCTCATCTGTAGTCAAATGGTCAATGAGAAACGGATTCAATTTCAATCCTACAAAATCACAAACCATTATAATTGACTTCTCTCAAATGCATAAACAACTTGAAGTTCATATGCTCCTGCTGTGCTTATAGACAATGTTCGAAAATATAAGGGCAGAGGTTGTGCGGACGATCTTCTGTGGCGCTGTTTGATTTCAGTGCTGAGGAGGCCAAGCACTGGAAGGAGACGGCGAGACACCCGCGCCAGAAAATAAATAGTTAAAATAAAACGTCGGTAGATTAGATGCTCGGCTTCTGACGGCGAGGTTTCCCCCTTCAGGGGCTTTTCCTGAGCCGTACTTTATGGTCTCTTTTCCGCGGCTTTGATGCGATGGAGAGACCATTTGGGTGAATACCAGAATTCGAAAGATTAGAACGCGAAAGGATGTAGGTATTGTAATGGCTTAAAGGCCTTCGGCCTAGCCACACAGGATCAAGTAAGCTAATTTATTTGTAATAATTACCTATTAAATAAATAAATAAAAAATAGACAATCTTGTGGTACCACGTCATACCAAGTGAAAAACTTGGGCTTAATACTTGATGATCATCTAAGCTGGGAATATCAGATCCGAAATGTCTGTCGCAAAGTTTATGCTTCTTTGCAATCCCTTAGATATATCGTTAAATGTCTCCCTACTAATACGAAAGAAATGTTAGTAAAAACCCTGCTGTGCCCTCTTTCGACTACGGTGACATGGTATTCACAATTTGAAAGATTCACTCGCACAAACTCTGCAGAGAGCTCAAAATTCCTGTTTTTGTTTCATTTTTAGTATAAAAATATACGATCACATCTCTGGTTTTATAAAGAGCACAAAATATTAACACTAAAGGAGGGGCGTTTGTATCGCAGCCTTTGTCTATTATTTAAGATGCTAAAAATGGGTCCCGTAATACTTAACAAATTATTTCGTATATCTTAAATCCTCTTGATTTCAGAAATCCCAGTTACTCTGTTTCCCAAAAAGCAAAACCAAGTACTATAATAAATCATTCACAATTACTGTAGCCCGGGAATGAAATAAATTGCCTTCCAATATTAAAAACTGCTCATTAACATCTTTTAAAAAGCACCTGAGTGATTTTTTTACAAAGTAGAAAACATCATTTTGCAACTTAAATCACGGTAGATGACCGGTCAAATAAACCTATTCCTTAAGAGTGTTAAGAACTGATTGATATGTTTTAGAAATAGCATTAATTTTCTTTTGTAAATTTTTTGTAAAAAAAAATACTTTCTTGCGACCTGTTTGATACTACTGGAACTGTATTTTCATCCGTAGAAGCAGAGGTGGATTTAAACAAGAAAACGACCCTTGGCAGCATGGACCACAGCTGAGGATGCCATCCCAAAGACCCGTCACTTCATGTTAGCTTAGTTTCCATTGTACTAGGACGCAGCCTGCCCGGTGGGTTTTCCTCCAGGATCGAGCAGCGGGCGAGGTGGTGTCTTCCTGTATTAATAGATCAGTCACTCGGGCTGCATACCAGTCTACCGCGTAGCGCGCAGATATGTAAAGCACATAATCTTATTTAATTTAAATTGTGTTTACAATCTCCGTCTATGAATTTTAAAATTATTTCAAACAAATTTTGTAACATTCTATCCATTTAACCTCTGATGTTATCTATTTATAATCGCTTTAAATGATGTTTATATTCCGCTACTTACCACCTGTAGATTACATTACATTTAAATTTTGAAGATTACATTACTTTTTTAGATTAATCTGTTTATTTGTGACATTTGGTTAGGCGGAAGAGCGGGCCTGATGGCCCGAGCCTCGTCATATCAATAAGCTAATAGACTGGTTTTTCCTTGCAAGTGAATTATAATGAATACAGTCTGATCCCATAATTAAATTGAAATGTGTGAGTAACGGCAGGCCCTGGGATCGAATCCAAGAGATATCAAATATTTGCATTTTGAAACAATTTATTTTTACAATAATTATTTGGTGTATTAGTAGTTGTACAGTAATGAAAAAAAATATTTCTAAAGACAAAATACATCTGATCCAACGTGCAAACCATTGATGTTGATATAAAATAATTTATGCCAATTATTCCACATTAAAAAAGATGGATGTTTTGTGTTGTAACTTGAGAAGTTGGAGACAAGTAATAATTGCATTAACACCGATGCATGTAAACGTAAAGTGTTGTTGCAATAATAGAATGTGTGTGCAATTCATAGTAATGTAATGTCTGCACAACCAGATTATTCTTCTGTACCTGTGTTGTATTGCTCTATAACATTATGTAAAATTGTTTTCAGAATATATTTTATGAATATTATACAATTTTTTTTTTTTATAATTGCCAACCGATTCTTCCCAACCTCAATTACTTTGGTATTTTTAAAGAGCTGAATATTAGCTGAATACGTGATTTTGTGGATGCTATATTGGATGTCCAAATATTGGATTGGGTACCGTACTCCTGAGCCAGCTGCTTCAACACTCAAAGTATCAATTCTGGCCGCAGAGTGCAGTGTTGTCGATTTAACTCTTGAACTGAATTGTAGATGGTGCCACACGAGTTTTCCTGAGTAACCCCTGCTACTCTATATTCCTCCCGATTCCTCCAAGCTCCATGTGCTTGATGGAAGTGGAAAACGATGTAAACAACGTTTAGTGTTTTTGCGTGTACATACATGACGTAATTTCAATTAAAACCGGCCTTTCTTTGTGGCGAAAGTACATTGTAAAATCAGTGTTATTTTCATTTTTTAGAGAATTATAAAGTTAAAAAATTAGAGGCCGGTGGTACAAGGAATTTGTTATAATGGATGAAAGTATTAATTTACGAAGTGACACTTAAATATTTGAAGAGTTTGTTTTAAACTTGGACCCAAAAATAAAGAAGTAGCATAATTAGTCACTGATCATCAGTCACCAAAATGAAGTAAGCATGCGACTTATTTTATATAGAGAGGGATGATCAGTTCTGGTCCGCTTTTTCTTTTCTATTGTTTTTTTTTGCTTTGACATGTAATTACATTTCCCTTTAGCTTGATTGTGTGCTTAGAAATTCCTTTTTAATGATGTTCTGTCTATTACAGATTGTTTAGGTGTTTCAGAACTTCTTTTCTTATCTGGTAATACTTTTCAAATTTTAGGTTAACAGTCGATGGACTTCTAGTATATTTTCCTTATGATTATATCTACCCAGAACAATATGCATATATGTTGGAACTGAAGAGAGCAATAGATGCAAAGGTAATACATTATCATAAAATTATTGTTATTATTATTATTATTATTATTATTATTATTATTATTATTATTATTATTATTATTCAAGAATATTGTTTTTGTCATTGTTTAACTTTTTCTAATTTTGCTTGTATTTCCTCTAGGGTCATTGCCTTCTAGAAATGCCTTCAGGGACTGGTAAAACCGTTTCTCTTTTATCCTTAATTGTAGCATATATGATGGCACATCCTTTGGATGTCTCAAAATTGATCTATTGTTCTCGAACTGTACCTGAAATTGAGAAGTGTATTGAAGAACTGAAGAAATTGCTAGCATATTATGAAAAGGAAACGCTTCAAAAGCCAAAATTAGTTGGGCTAGTTCTTTCTTCACGGAAAAACTTGTGCATTCATCCAGAGGTTATTATTTGAATTGCAGTATTAAGAATATTATTTTAATTTATTCAATAATGATGTTAGGTTTGTTAAAAAAGGGCAATTTTAAATAATATTTTTTGTATCAGGTTAGCAAAGAAAGGGAAGGAAAAGTTGTTGATGGACGTTGTCACAGCTTGACAGCAACATACGTACGTGAGAGGCATCATTATGATGAGACTGTGCCACTGTGCACATTTTATGAAGGTTTCGATATAGAAGGGAGAGAAGCTCCTTTGCCACCAGGTGTATATAACATTGATGATTTGAAAGAATATGGCAGAGAAAAGAATTGGTGTCCATACTTTCTTGCCCGGTACACTGTGAGTACTAATTTTTTTTTATATATAGTGTGTTAGTGAGATCATTACTATAATGCTCTTGTTTTCCCCCCCATAGATAAGTCATGCCAACATAGTTGTATACAGTTATCATTATCTTCTGGATCCTAAAATAGCAGAAGTGGTGTCAAAGGAACTATCCAAGTCATCTGTAGTTGTTTTTGATGAAGCTCACAACATAGGTAGGATGTGCAAACTTTGTAGATAGTGCTGAAAATTGATTGTTACAAAGTGCAATTATTAGTTCCATTTTCCTGATTTTCACTCATTATGCAGGTTGTGTTCTATATTTGTAAATGTTTTTGGTGAATACTTCTTAAACAGTATTAATGGACTGTACTTTCCTTTTCAGATAATGTGTGTATTGATTCTATGAGTGTAAAGATAAATCGAAGAATTATTGAAAAGAGTACTGCAAATCTTCAGTTCTTGGAACGCACTATTACTGAGTAAATACTTTGTTGTATTTCCATCATTCATGCATGTTGTGGGCCTCTTTTGACATACATCCTGTGTTTGATTTCCTAATTCCATTTTCTCCAATTCCATCTATTTCATCACATCACATCTCGCTTCAGGTAATATGTTTCGAGAAACACATTATCTCAAAGATTGTTGTTAGAAGAACATTAATGCCTCAGGCACTTTTGTAGATATATTTTATAAGTAAAAGTTAATAGTGTATGCATTCATTAAATTTTGAAGCTGTTTGTTTTTAAGAAATAAATTCATTAAAATGTTATCACTCCACCTTGGGAAAAGTAAATTTGGGGTGAAGTTAGGTTCGAGGAGAAGATTTTCATAACAATTTTTATATCCTTAATATTACTTCAAATTTATTCATAATAATATCTGCATTTATCATTGTTAAAATTTCAAAGGTGGAATTTTTCAGAATGAAAGAAGATGATGTTCAAAAGTTAAAAGAAGAATATCATAGGATGGTGGAAGGATTAAGAGATGCAAACGAAGCTCGTGAGACAGATGTCATTCTTGCCAATCCTGTATTGCCAACTGAAGTTCTGCAAGGTATGAAAATTGTAAGGTTGTGCTCTTACTGTTATATAATAGGACTGACATTTCTATTTTTATTTCATAGAGGTTGTTCCTGGAAACATACGCAATGCTGAACATTTTGTAGGGTTTTTAAAGAGATTCGTCGAGTACTTAAAAACACGGTTGAGAGTGCAACATGTTGTTCAAGAATCTCCTGCTGGCTTTCTTAAAGACGTGTACCAAAAAGTGTGTATTGAAAGGAAACCCTTGAGGTAAATCCGCCTGCTGAGAGCATGCGTTTGCTTTCTAAATGAGTTTAAATTGTTAAAATTATTTTCCCCTCTGTTTTGTAGGTTTTGTCATGAACGTTTGGCATCAATGCTTCGCACATTAGAAATATCTGACCTCACTGATTTTTCTCCTCTTATTTTGATTACCCATTTAGCTACGTTAGTATCAACATACACCAAAGGTTTCACAATTATTGTAGAACCTTTTGATGATAAAACCCCAACAGTTTCAAATCCTATTCTTCACTTCAGGTATGTGTCCTCCACTGCAGGTGCAAGAAAATTGTATGTTGAAAAGGTTTAGGATAATTTACTGAAAATACAAATCTCTATTTTCAGTTGCCTTGACTGTTCCATTGCCATTAAGCCAGTTTTTGATCGTTTTCAAACAGTGGTCATTACATCAGGTACTCTGTCTCCTCTTGACATGTATCCAAAAATTCTGGATTTCCATCCAGTGATTATGAGTTCCTTTACTATGACTCTCGCAAGGCCATGCCTTCTTCCTATGGTAAGTATTTTGAGATTCCTGGTATAAAAGAGCTAAAAGTGACTTAGTGAAAATATGCAATCACTTTATTTTAGATAGTTGCAAAAGGTAATGACCAAGTTGCCATATCATCACGTTATGAGACTCGAGATGATGTGGCTGTTATAAGAAACTATGGCCAGCTATTGGTTGAAGTTGCCTCGTCTGTTCCTGATGGAATTGTGTGTTTCTTTACATCATATTTATACTTAGAATCAGTTGTTGCAAGTTGGTATGATCAAGGAGTTGTGGATAATTTACAACGACATAAACTGTTATTCATTGAAACTCAAGATTCAGCTGAAACAAGTCTGGCTCTCTTAAACTACATCAAGGTTGGTAATATTAAATTGTTTTACTAAAATTTTACTTGAAATATTTTTTTATGAGTTGATAAATTAGAATAAATATTTTGCATGCATGTTTCAGTTAAATGAACTTAGTTTGAATTTTCTTTGCACGATTTTCATTTGATTGATGTCAAATTCACTTAATGGGTTTCAATAAGCTTCTTTAAAGCAATCTGTTTTTGGGGGAAGAAATTTAAAATCTTAAACATTTAAGTGGAAAAATAAAACAGAATAATTTCAGAAAGATAGAACATTAAAATAACAAAAATAAAATTTTATTGTATTAATTTATTGCATTAGTAGATTGTATCATATTGTAAAAAATTGTAGTGCCTTGAATAAAGAGAATAAAAATATAGAAGAAATTTAATAAACATGTGCAAATTACATTTTATGGATCCAGATGTTAATTTACAAAACAATACAATTCAGGTGATTAGTCCCGTATGTGCAGTGCATGTTTTAATTGCGTGAGGTAGCAGTGATCTTCCCCCTTTGCCTGGCAAGATCTAGCATGGACCTGCTTCGGCTTACACGGATTTTCCCCCTAACAGGTATCCTTCACAGTGTGGCACAGCCCCAACCAGGACAAGATCTAAGCTCCTCACATGTGGGGGTAATAGAGTGCATGCGAGTGTAAGTGCGTGTAAGCTAGGGTGAGGAAAGTGCAAGGAAGAGGAAGGAAAGATCGCCTGTTTCTTAGGGTACTGCTTCTGCATGCACCTGGGGTTGAACAGAGAAACGACAGAAAACTTCCTCTCAGACCAGCCGACTGCTAGTATTTTCCTCCAGACAGCGGCTGAATTGACCTAGCTGATGAGCTAGTGTTGAAAATCCTGGCACTGTCAGAACACTTGAACTTTAAGACCTCCTGGTCAGAGGCACTGTAGTGACATCAGTTGATGCCCTAAACCACCTTTGCCGGTCAAAATAATACTGCCAAAGCTAAGAAGCATAGGTTACAAATTTTTTTTAGAATTAAATGAGAGAAAACATCGTCCAGTTGAAAATTTAAATGAAGTTTCATGATTCATAAACGGGGTGGATTTTAATGAAATGTCATTATTTTTTTCTTTTCACTTTAGAACAATGTCTTTTAGTACAGACGTTAATTTTTATGTTATTTTATTTAATGCTGCAGAAAATTAATTTCAAGATTGCAACGGAAAAACAGTTTTGGGGTCCACTGATACTGCAAAAGTGCTTTTTTCAAGACTTCCATCAGTATGTCAATGACCCTAGCATCTAAATTATTTGTAGAATTTTTTGCAATATCAAGAAATTTTCCACAGTGGATATAGTTTTACTCATAGCTCTGGCATTTTGAAAATCATTCTTTAAATTTTGGGATTACTTTACAAGAAGCGCTTGGGACATTTTCAAACTTTTCCTAAAGATTTTTTTTTCTTTAAATTTCTTGTAAGAATAGAGTGAAATACATTTATAAAGATGGCGTAGGTAAAATTTTCACTGTTAATTCTAAAAAAAATTAGAAATTACAAAAGTTTAATGTTTTCTTGGCATCTTCCTCTAGCTACAAAATTGAAGATAGTGATATTTTCTTCAAATGAAATTTTTATCCATAATTAGTTCTTTCATTAATGATATGTACATTTCTTTTTAAAAATGTAGTAGTTTTTGATCACTTTTGAGCAAACTAGGGGCAACATTAATAAAGAAAATCAAAAACATGATTTCTCAAAAACTGCTCCAATTTTTTTCTTTTAACTTTTGTTAAGGATAATGCTCTAAATGCATTGTATAAGTTGGCATAAACTCCAGTTTGCTGCATACTTTTATTTTTTTAAATTACACATTCTTGTATACGTCTCATTGTTAGAATTTACATTATCAGAGATTTGTGTACATTATGATATTTGCGAGAATATGTTATTTAAATGATGTGTTGGAATGCTTGTTGAAAACTCAACAGTTTTCTATGAAAATGAGCTCAAAATTTTGCATTTTCGGAAACTCCATTTTCCAGAAAACGGCCCCAAAATTTTTTGAAGTGATAGTCCTAAATCAACTTGTGATTAATACCACATGTACGTATTCTTTCATTTTTTCAAAACTTATGTGAATGAAATTTAATTGAAATATCTCTCTTACCATTAATATTTAGTAATGAAATTTCTCCAAAACTCAGAAGCTTTTTGTGATGAAGAGTTTCAAATTTCACATTTACACAAATACTTAAAAGACATTTTCTCATAAATTGCTCTAAATTTTTCAACAAAAATTGCCAAATATGAATATCACTAGGAAACCAAAAAATTGAGCAAATGTGAGGATGCAGTGGTGATGTTTTTTCTCTTTCCCTAAACAAAGGTGGAGATGCGTCTTGTTAATGTATGTTTATTTCCTTGACTAGCAATGAGGGGCCATTTTTGAAGAAACTTTTTCTTATTTGGTGTAACATTCACATAATAATACTGCAGAGTCTTGTAATTCATTTAATTACGTCTAATAAAGATTTTTGTTTGTTGCTATGTGCACAATAAAACGTGTTGAATGCGGAATCTCAAGGGACCACTATCTTATTCTGTATTGTAGAATGTAATATTCCAGAATGTACGTGTGCCAAGACCATTTTATATTTACATTGGACAGATTTGTCTATTGTACATGATCTGCTTTGAGGAGGATTATTTGTACTTGAATGTAAATGTAACTATACTCTTATTTCCCAACTTCAATACTTTTTAGGCATGTGAGAGTGGTAGAGGAGCTGTTCTGCTCTCTGTTGCCCGAGGAAAAGTATCAGAAGGAGTGGACTTCGATCATCATCTTGGTCGTGCTGTTCTTATGTTTGGAATACCATATGTGTACACCAAGTCACGAATTTTGACAGCCCGATTAGAATATCTCAGAGATCAGTTTCAGGTATTTCTCTTATTCTGCCACTTTATTTATTTCTAAGTCGTCTGCTATTAGCTGAAATAATGTGTCTTGTACATAAATGCTGTATGTAACATTATAACGGTATCAAAGTCACAGTAATGGTATCAAACTAATCTTATTTACGGAACATAAATAATGCAGAACATTTTTTTCAGATTAAAGAAAGTGACTTTTTAACTTTTGATGCCATGCGTCATGCTGCTCAGTGTGTAGGGAGAGCCATTCGAGGCAAAACGGATTATGGTATCATGATTTTTGCAGATAAGGTAAATGCTAAAAATCAATTTAGTTAAAGTAATGGCATCACAAAAATTCCAACTGTACAAAATATTTATTATTGCAGAGATTCTCAAGAATAGACAAAAGAAGCAAGTTGCCCAAATGGATCCAAGAGCACTTAAAGGACTCATTGTTGAATTTATCAACTGAAGAAGCAATACAAGTAAGAATAGTATATATTAATCATATATACCTCAAAATTATTTTTTATAGTCTATTCATTTTTTCTCTCTTCTGTTAGTACATCTAAAATAATGAACGTTTTTAAATTTAAATTATTTTCAACTGCTTACAGCAAAAGGGAAGGTAATTGTTAATATTTTCTTAATATCGGGTATTTTTTAAAATTTGTATTATGTGAATGGTATAAAATTCATAGAATTATTTTCAGATTTAAGATACAAGTAAATATTGTCTCTATTTCAATCTGGGCCATTATTTCTTGAATCATTTAAAAAAAAAAGAAAAAAGTTAGTTTTCCATTAAAATGAGGCAATGTATACATTTAACACAAAATATATTTAAAATATAAATAAATTATGAAATGCATATGTATGTAAATTTTACACTACTTCACACAGCTTCATTGTCAAATGATGGACTGATTCTCAAGAGATGAATGTACGTTACTTTTGACTGATTTAGATGCATCAGAAAATCTTGTTAATTTAACCTAGTTCCAGTGACACTTGATTCTCAGCATTTAGTACAATTTTGCAAAATATTCAATTGCATTCCATTTTCAGCAAACAAAATAGCATATTCTTTCACTTGTGATGTACTTAAGTACAAACATACCCTTTACAAGCATAGAATGTTGATATCTTGTATTTGTACTTTGTGGTCCATCTATCTGTGCTTTTGGCACAAAACATATTTATCTCTAAAAAAATTATTTTCGTCTGTTTGAACGTTGCTAAGGTGTTTGAATTTGATTGTTGATGGAAATTGTAAGCTTGCTCGGCTTACTGGTCATTTCAGTGCCCTCCCTGTGCAATCACTGGAACCTTTCCCATGTGCAGTAGCAAAAAGTCCCGGTCTGCTGCCTGAATGGAAAAATCCAACTTATAAAGACAAGAACTTTGTTTGCATTACCTCTTTATATATTCTAAAATTATGATTGAAAAGTGATATTGATTCTTTTTTGAACTGCCAACAAAATTTTGTTAGTGGTTTTCAATTTTGCTGGTTTCTACATTTTAGCCCCTGAGATTGGGGCCTTCAAGAGAGATCAGTATGAAAATTATGCCCTTATATGAAGAGACCAACCCAGTAAATATATAAGGATTTCTCATTGTAGTAAAATCAGCCTTTATGACTAAACAGAATGAAAACTAGCAAAATGTAAAACTTTGTCAACTAATTATTCTGTTCAAAAAACTGTCAATAATATAACCTTTGGATCTTAAGAAAATTGTACCTGTTTCTGTGTAGAGACATTGATCTGTAGGAGTATTAAATGGCTTATGTCTAAATTGTAATTTTTGTTTCTAAAATTTCATTCAGCATCTTTTGAAATAATGTACAACTGTACTAAACTTCAATGAATGAGCTTTATTTGACAGATTAGATGTTACAGTGTCATCTTAATAGGATCTTGTACATCATTATGGTGATGTTCAACCTCCCAATTAGACGACACTGTAAGTGCTGATGAAAGTCAACTGAACTTATGTTTAAATCCAAGTATATGAGTTGAGGGGGAGGGTGAATTGGCCATTTCGGGATCATGCAAAAGTGCAATCCACCAGGGCTCACTTATATTTATCAAGGGTAGGTTCACGTGACTTTTTTAGGAGCATGAGGGGGTGGGGGGAAAGCATTTTTATGCTGGATCCGTTTTACGCCCAGAGTTCTATGAACATTATTAATTTTTCTTGAAAGAAACACCTGTACTATTAATAGATATGTTGTGTTAAAATGATTTAGTAAAGGAAATTCATCATTAAAAATGAAAATAAATATATACATTAAATTTCACTTCCACAATTGCCATATGTCAATCAGAAATGTAGTACCATCAATGATACATTGGCAACCAACAGTTTGTCAACATATACATTGATAAGACAATAAAAACATGAATGATTAATGTAAGATTTGAGAATGTGCTGAACAATTTTAATCAAATGAATAAAATTCATGCATAGCAAAATTTAATTATTTTCTTATATTAGATTATTTTTAGTAAAAAAATCAAAGACAATGTATTTTGGATATTAAAGTTTTAAAGTGTTTTGTTCTATTGACTGCTTTTAGATGTAAAGTAACCACACATTTCATAATTAATTACTAGGGTTATGAGTTTTATGCCCTAAAAAAATCTTGATATATTCTTTTAAAAATATGCAATATGACCTAAAAATTTTGAAATATGCAATTATAATTAACAATATTTCATTTCTTGCATAAAACTTTCTTGATAAATTCAGGAGAAGTGTGCTTTGGGTGGAAAGATATATTTTTGTGCAAACATAATATAATTTATCTTACAGATTGGAAGAAATAATTAAAATAAATATTCACCTTAGTGTAGTACATTGTTTTGTTGCATTTCCTGGTTTAAAACATATGTCAAGAAATTTCCTACGTTTGCAAAAGTATTTTATCACCTACAGAAAAGAAGAAAAAAACACTAACTGAGACAAGCTCTTTCTAATTGATGAACACTCACAAATAAATAAATTGTATGAAAAGTTGAAACCTTTTAGAGATAAGTCTACTTTAATGGAATATGCAAAATATCTTCTTCTTCTGCACTTCAAAGATTAGGTGGCTGCCTGTTCTGTCTTCACATATCAAACCATCTTCTGCATTGTCTTCCTTCCTACACTCCTTCTTCCTGTTGGGTTGTACTGCAGGGTACTGCTTCCTGTTGGGTTGTTTAGGTAGCCTATTGTGCTCCATTCTTTCTAAATGGTTTTTCCAGTCTTGTTTGTACAGTTGTATACAATCATTTAAACGTAATTTATTTAATTATTTTCATATATCTTCATTTTTGTGTTTATCTAGCAAAGTACAAACTTTTACTCTTCTTAAAAATGTCATCTCTGTAGCTTGGTAATAATCATTTTTTCTTTATGAGAGAGAATCCAATTTTTCACTCCCATACAGGACTACTGGTGTTGCCATTGTTTTATAAAAATTTTAACATTGTATCTTCTATCTATCTATTTAGCGTTTTTTTACAGCCTTGGCTGTTTTCCGCATCCCAATTTCCATGCATTTCTCTTTTTTCCATGGCTTCAGTTATTGCCATGTTCCATGTTCTTCTCCATTGTATCTTCTCTAGTCTTATTTCTTAATGCTCTATGTAGCGTGCTGCATATATATATCGGAAGTTGTGGAAGTTATTTTTTATATCTTGGCTTCGATCGTAACATATCACATCCTAAATAATTGAAATGATACTTGTTCTATTGTTTGGTTTCCCAAGCATATCTTTGTTCTAATTGGATAAACACCTTTAAAAGCCATGACCTCTGCTTTTTGTTTTGATATTTTCATGGTATAAATTTTACACATTAGATTTAATTGATGGAGTGCTATTTGGAGAAATTTTCCTTTTCATACATAATTACTCAGTTATCAACAAATAGCAGAGTACTCATATAAATATTGCCATTCAGTCTTGACATCTTGTTTTACTTTTAATTTCCATTCTCTAAGAATATCGTCTATATAGATGTTAAATAATATTGGAGAAAGGCTGCAACCTAATCCTTGGTTAGTTTTCAATGGTTGTGATTGATGTGAATTTATTTTTATTCGAAACTTTGTATTTTTATATAGACTTTTAGCTACATTAATTACATGTTTTGGAAAGCCTCTTGGATCCATTATGGCCCATAATCGTATCCTGTTTACTCAGTCGAAGGCTTTTTCAAAATCAATGAATGCAGTGCGCGTGTCTAAATTAAACTCTCTTCTTTTCTCTATTATTTGGTTCAATATAAAAACATTATCTGTGCAGGATCTTCCCTTTCTCAAGCCATTTTGTTCTTCTAATAATATAACTTCAGCTATCGTCGTAATCCTCTTTTGAATCATTTTACTGTAGATTGTATAGGTTGTGTTTAAGAGGCAAGTACCTCTATAATTTTCACAGCTATTTCGATCCCCCTTTTTAAACACAGATATTATATTATCTTTCTTTTGTTCTTCCTTTTCTTCCAGTGGGTTGAATCATAGATTATTATAGTGTTATAGCCATTTCTCTTCATCTATAACTTTCAATTGAACAGTTCTTTTTCTTTTTGAGCGAGCTAAATATGCACCTATAACAACATGAATATGCATCAACAGGAAAAATCAGCCAAATATGCACCTACATTATCTACATAGCATCCAATTGTAACCAAATGTTAAGTTAAGAAATTTCATCTTGGTATGCCCAGAAGCAACAGAAAAAAATATGCAAAATCATAGAAATCCATTCTCTATTGATTACCATTTATAATATTAAATTGATGTTAAGAAGACACTTTCTCATATTTTAAAGGAAAACTAACTTTGTAACATTACAGACAAAAACATGCTCTAAGAATAAAATAGTATGTGTAATTGTCCCTTTTTTTTTAACGTGAATCATTTTTAGCCAATTTGAAGGAGGATTCTACAAATAATGTATTATCATAGTACAATCTGTACTATGGTGTCACAACATAATGAAAACTGTTTTTATAATTGTTAGATCATTTCTCTTTTCAATTATTTTCAAATAAGAATCATTTGTAGTCATTTGCGAACTGCAACGGCTTTGATATAGCTCACAATATACAAGAGGAGTTTTTAGGAAGATTCGTCTAGAACAGAGGTTTTCAAACTTTTCAGCCCGTCCTCCCCCCTCCTTAGTAATTAGTAAATAACTATGCCCATAATAATTTATTATAAACTACATATTATAGTTTTGCTATAATAAACATATAAACTATTAAATTTCTTGTTTTATTTTTATCATATTATTAAATTTCTTATATTACAGTTTTAAGACCTCAAAAAATTACAATGAAATATAATACAATTTACTATCAAATATATGATTATTAACAAACATTTTTAAAAATTAATAAAATACATATTCAGGAAAGATTTAATAAACACTTCTAATGTGTCTAATAACTACAATATTGATTTTTGAAAATTTCTGTAGTCATTGTGCTCCTCCTGGGATTGCCCTCCCCAATTTGCGAACCTCTGATCAAGAAGTCAGACATGTGTTGTCAGAATGCTATTGTTATGAATATGAGTATTATATTTACTTATAAAAAGAAGTGTTTGGGAGATCTGGTGATTGGAAATAATTTGTGGTGATTGTAATACAGAAAATTTGAATGTTTTGTGAATGTAGTAAAGCAAAGTTCTGAATACCTTGTTTCTATAGATTGCCAAGCGGTGGTTACGACAAATGGCTCAGCCATTTAGTAGAGAAGATCAGCTAGGAGTATCCTTACTTACTCTTGAACAACTTCAAAATGAACAAAAGAAACAGAAGCAACAAGAAGAAGAAGAAATGGATGAAGAAAATGAAGTGTAAAGAAATGTTTTTCATATAAACATTTTATAAATACATGTCAATTTTTTTTATACATGAACAATAAACTATCTAATTTAATTATAAATACAGTATTAAATGAGTGAGTAGATTCAAAATAAATATTATTTTGTACAAGATTTATAGACAGTAGTTTTCTTAAGAGCAGCATATTTCTCAAAGTGGATTTCAGATATTCTTGATCGATCTTGAATATAAAGAAATGTCAAAATGTAATAAGTTATTCAAGTTTCCGTCAACAGAACTTAATAATCTGCAACTTTTAAATGAAAATAATTCATTGAGTTCTCATAAGGAAGATCATATCACAAATTCTTCAACTCATACATACTTTATTGACAGTTGAAATGGGAAAATTTGAAAAATACAGTTTGGTTGATGAATTAATTGGTTTGTGAATATGATTGACGTTGCAGTGACATTTAGCTGCATGTAATATCAACTTCAATAATGTTCATTGTTACATGCCAGCCCTCAACCTGCTTGT